CCGAAATCACATGGCCCAAATAATTCACCTCTTTACGAAAGAATGAGCACTTACTGAGCTTGGCCTTGAGGCCCTCATGCCGAAGTCTTTCCAGCACCACCTGGAGCCTCTCCACATGCTGTTCCACAGTAGAGGAAAACACCACAATATCATCCAGATATAACAGCAAGGACTGACACTGCTGGTCACCAAAGATGCGTTGCATTAACCTCTGGAAAGTGCTGGGCGCGTTACAGAGCCCAAAAGGCATTCTGTTCCATTCGAACAAACCAAAAGGGGTGCAAAAAGCAGTCTTCGGCCGGTCAGCCTCAGTGACTGGCACCTGGTTATAACCACTGGTCAAGTCCAGGGTTGAGAACCAGCGAGCACCCGACAAGGCATCCAATGACTCCTCTATACGTGGCAGAGGAAAGGCATCTCTTCGGGTCTTACTATTGAGCTGCCTATAGTCAACACACATGCGCATGCTGCCATCTTTCTTTCGTACCAACACGATAGGGGACGCATAGGGGCTGCTACTCTCCCGAATGATTTGAGATGAGAGTAGACGATTGATGTGCTCCTTCACCACCTCATACTCTGAGGGTGGGATGCGCCTATGGCGCTGCCTCACTGGAGTATCGTCTACCAAAGGGATGTCATGGGAGATTAGATTTGTACAGCCCAGATCAGTATCATCGATGGAAAAGACTGAGGAATACTGTTGAAGCAGGGACTTCACTGGACCCTGTTCCTCCACAGACAAAGGTGACAAATCCACACTCTCCACCTGCTGCACACTAGGGGAAGCGGTCTGAGAAGACACGGTGGCCACACCCGATGGCACCTCAGTGACCCCGGAAGGAAGGCTGACCACATTCACAAAATCCAGTGTGCCGACAACAGTGCGGGGGGTACAAAACAACATCATTACAGCCAACATTAATGACAGGTATGTAGGCGGTGCCCCTGATGACACGAACCAAAGAAGGGGAAGCAAGCAACCCAGCAGGTAAACCAGCCTCTAAAGGCTCGAATAGCACCGTAGACCCGGAGTACTGCTCAGAACATGTGGCTGCCACGATTTTCATTACCCCACCAGGAATCTGCCAACCCCTCTTACCCCTGACCTTCACTTTCCCGGGAACATCCTGGGACGCGACATCGCTAACACGATGGCACTGTTGCAGTGCCTGCACAACTGGCTCAGGGGCCTTTGAGATACAGACCTGGGAAAACAACGTTTCCCCATACTGGCCAAAAAGTTCCTGGTAGCACTTGCGGATCACGTTCATCCCCAAAATACCCGGCACTTTAGAAGGCACCCCACCAGGTAGGTCCCTCACTACCAACACACCACAGTGGGGCATCAGTTTACCACAAAGTTGCACGTCAAGCTCCAAGTACCCAAGGTAAGGAATAGTCAGACCGTTGGCAGCTCTAAGCTCCAACCAGTGACAAGAACGGAGACGCTCCTGGCCCCAAGGCTCGAGATGCTGGCGGAAAAAGCTCTCAGAAATAGTAGACACCATGGAGCCGGTGTCTACCAGACAAGGAACCTTCACTCCACCCATGTCCACATCTAAATGGGGACACGACGAAATCAATCCAGACGCATCCAAATCGCGTGAAGCAGCTTGTGAGCCAGTAGCAGCCCCACCCAAACTGTGACTCTGCAGTTTGGTGGGTACTAGTTTTCCGACCCAGAAGCAAAATGAGACTGCCTACCAGGATTAGATGGAGGCTGTGAATGGGATTGTGAGCGGGGAGCATGCACTCTACACTCCCTCGCAAAATGGCCAGGCTGATTGCAGCGCCTGCATAGCATTGGGCCAGTACGAGGTGGGTGACTGTGCTGATGAGAGACCTGCAGCCGGGCAATGCTTTCAGTGAGCTTATTAAGCTGCTCTTGCTGACGCTGTAGCATCTCCCTCATCTCACCCATCTCTGACACGGGGGGGGAAGAAACGCCCTGCGGGTTACCTTGAACACCATACTGAACACCAAACACTAAGGGGACTGAATGACTGCGGCCCCTCACACCGCTGGGTAGACCTTCAAGCTCCCACTGAATCGCCTCTGCTCTAACAGCAAGCAGGGTGTAATTGGGCTGTCTACGCACTAACTGCTTCAACTCACGACGCAGGGCACTGTCCAGCACATGCTCAACAAATTGGTCTCTCAAAAGAGCTTCTGCATTTGGCACTTCAGTAGGTGCACGCTGCTTCACCTTCTCCATGAGGCCCATCAAAGCAAGGGAGAACTCCTGAAGAGTCTCTCCCTCCTGCTGCCTTCTGGAGAAGAAAGCCTTCTGCAGAGCAACATAAGACTCCAAGCACCCGTACAGCTCCTGTAAAATAGCCAATACTCTATCAGGGTCCTCTCTCTCTGTGCTAGGACGATACTTTAGCTCCTCCCTAGCTTCACCCTCTAGGTGGTCAAACAGGAAAAAGGCCTGGTCAGACCGGGATAAACGCCGGGACCTCATACACGCCTGTATTTCCTCCCTCCACTCACTCAACCCCATACCCGTCCTTCCCCTAAAAACAGGACACTTCCTATCACGGGGCACAAACACCAGCCTCTCTGTTACAGGGACACTGGAAGTAGAAGGGGCAGTAGGTGGCACAAAAGAGGTGGACGGTAAGGCACTAGAGCCAGCCTGTTCCTGTCGTAACCGCTCATTATCAGCCTTTAACTGTTTAATCAGATCTCTAAGTTCCTGTAACTCTTCCTCCATAGCTACAATAAAGCTCAAACTACTACCTAGGCCTAATCTGCTATACCAAATCTCACCAAAACTGGCACGAAGGTCCACTGGAAACCACTGCTGCTTTGTCTCTTTAAATTCGTGCAGATGCCTACAAGAAAAACAACATTAGTACACCAGAGAAAAAAACACAAGGAAAAAAATAAAACCCACAAGGAACACACGTCTTTGCCTGTTGGAAGAGTAGATCCTGCCGACAACGCCAGATTGTGGCGGGGGTTGCGAACAAAAATGAATGTTCTCTCAATGGGAATCTTAGGTTGCACGACAACGCCACCTTGGGAATTGCACCCAAGGAATTATTTTACACTGACCAAAAACACAGGTTCGTTCCACTCGACAGGCAAGACACGTGGTTCCCAGTTTACAAAAATACTTTATTTAATAAATATATATATCATTATAAAAAAATAGCATTCATCCCAATAAATGAAAAAGGGAGCCTAATCAGGGGCTGAGGCCTACTGGTGGGGAAAGAGCAGGTGAAGGGGAAGGGGACTCAACAAAATTAAATTAAAGAAAAAGGGTTCACCCAGACACACGTGGCAGTCACACACTGTGGTATCACCAAATCCAAGGAAGCACAGCACACAAGAAGGAGGGACACCACCACCCACGTCACCAACACCACCACCAGCCTGCAGCCACTGAGAAGGGAAAACAAAAGTTACAATGGAAGTATTTAACACAAAATATAAATAATATAATAAAAACAATATACAACATAAAGCAGGAAATAGTTAACCAATTAAGCTTACCAAGCTAGTTAATCAAAACAATAAACAAAACAAGTAATACAAAAATAAGGGATTAACTCCTCACCATCGTTCAGCTAAAATAAAAAGAGATAAACAGATTAAAAGTATGGTGTCTGCAGTTCACCATGCAAGCCGGCTGTAGCCAGAAGCCACCAAGCAGCCAGAGCCGCAGAACACGGCAGCAAGGAATAAGTGACTGCAGAGGCAAAGCAGGGGACAATGTCACATACAGCAGCAGAGACACAGCTATGCAGCTAGCAGTAGGGGCACAACAGCAGACATATAGTCGACAAAGCGGTATAAACACAGCAACCGTGTGTTTAACGACAGAGGCAAAGCGGTGCGGACAAAGCAATGTAAATAAGTCAGTGTAGACAAAGCATAGACAAAACACCGACAAAGCAGCGACAAGGCAGAGACAAACAGAGACAAAACAGAGACAAAACAGAGACAAAACAGCAGCGGTCCCAATCAGCTGGTGGTGAAGGCACGTGAATCGCCACCTGTAGATTTCGGCCAGCTGACGAGCATTCCCTGTCAATAAACATACCATTAGCATAGCTAAACTACATTAATCAAAGCTTTTGAGAGTTAGATTTAAGGTAGCATACCTGTTTTCAAAGTCAAACCTGCACAGGGAGAGGGAGGGAGAGAGAGACTCACACGGCAGCGGACATCTACCTGTGACCACACTAGCGTTAGCTACAGAATAGCATTCGGTGTAACAGAGAGAGAGGACACTTACCACCGCCAGAGAGAACCAAGGTCTAAACGGAGCATGGAGCACAAAGCACGGGGCACTCGGTCGTTGCTCTGCAGTGAAAACACGCAGGCTTTAAGCAACAGGACACAGTAAAAGATGAAACAGAGCAGTAGCCGCAGCAGCGGCATGGAGCATTACCTGCACAGGCAAACACCTGACCCGGAAATGATGCGTTAGTGAGCGTGCGAGAAGGAGGGCCGTACTTATATACTGCCGCCCCAATGGTCAGCAGGTGCAATTAACTGCCGCATGACAGCCCTATGTCTATGCTGCTACACTTTTTAAAATAAAGTAGTCAGTCGTCAAAGGAATGTTTTTTTTTTTTTCCAGCTTAAAGTTTTGGGTAAGGGACCATTTTTTTTTTAAATTTTTTTTTTTAACCAAATTTCCCTTTTTTTTTTTTTTTTTTTTAGACTTGGGGTTGGTGTTATTTGTGTTTGTTTTTTTTTTTTTTGGTTTTTGGGGAGGGGGAGGAGGGGAGGAAATTTAATTATTTTTTTTTTGTTTTTTGTGTTTGTTCTCTTTTCTGGTGCTTTTGTTTTTTTTTTTTTTTTTTTTTTTTTTTTTTTTATCTCCCCGGTTTTTTGTTTTCCGGTTCTTTATATCCAACCACCTGAAAGAAAAACCTTTTAAAATTACATTTTTTATTTTAGTTTTTGCGTCCCAGGCGGAGGGGGGGGGGGGGGGGGTTTTTTTTTTTTTTTTTTGATTTTTTTTAAAAAATTAAAAGGTTTTTTCACTAGATGAGAAAACTGGAGAAATTAGTGTAACTGGTGACATCGACTATGAAGAGGGACCCAAATATGAAGTATTTGTTGAGGCCAAAGATGGTTATGGTCTCTCTTCAGAAGCAAAGGTGATTATTGACATCACTGATGTGAATGACAACTCACCGGTGATATATCTGAAATCACTGTCTAACCCCATATCTGAGAATGTGTCACCTGGTACAGAGGTGGGCATCATTAACGTACAGGATAGAGACTCTGAGACTAACAAACAGGTCCGCTGCTCCATTCAGCAAAACGCCCCTTTTAAGTTGGTTCCTTCTATTAAAAACTATTATTCTCTGGTGACCACAGGACAACTGGACCGTGAACTACTGTCTGACTACAACATTACAATCACTGCCACTGACGAGGGCTCTCCACCTCTGTCCTCCTCTAAAACTGTTCAGTTATCTGTAGCAGACATCAACGACAACCCACCTGTGTTTGAGGAACAGTCCTACAGCGCATATGTGACTGAAAATAACAAACCTGGCTCCACTTTATGTTCCGTTACTGCTCGAGACCCCGACTGGAGACAAAACGGTACAGTGATTTATTCTCTGTTAGCTGGTGAGGTGAACGGTGCCCCGGTGTCCTCCTATCTGTCTGTTAACGGAGATACGGGGGTGATCCACGCTGTGAGGTCGTTTGATTATGAACAGTTCAGGAGTTTTAAAGTCCACGTGATGGCCAGAGACAACGGTTCTCCTCCGCTCAGCAGCAACGTGACCGTCAGTGTCTTTATATCTGATGTGAATGACAACTCTCCTCAGATACTGTACCCCTCCCCTGAGGGCAACTCCTTCATGACCGAGCTGGTCCCCAAAGCTGCACACGGAGGCTCTCTGGTGTCCAAAGTGATAGCGGTGGACGCGGACTCCGGACAGAACGCCTGGCTGTCCTATCACATAGTCAAATCCACTGATCCGGGACTTTTCACTATTGGTCTCCACAGCGGAGAGATCAGGACACAGCGGGACATTTCTGAATCAGACAGCATGAAACAGAACCTTATTGTGTCAGTGAAAGATAACGGACAGCCCTCTCTCTCTGCCACCTGTTCCATGTATTTACTTATTTCTGATAACTTGGCTGAGGTGCCAGAACTGAAGGATATTTCTTATGATGAGAAGAATTCCAAACTGACCTCTTATCTGATCATCGCGCTTGTTTCTGTGTCCACCTTTTTTCTGACCTTCATCATCATCATCCTGGGTGTGAGGTTTTGTCGCAGGAGAAAGCCCAGACTGTTGTTTGATGGAGCAGTTGCCATCCCCAGCGCTTATCTCCCTCCTAATTACGCAGATGTTGACGGCACGGGAACTTTACGCAGCGCTTACAATTATGACGCATACCTGACAACAGGATCTAGAACCAGTGACTTTAAGTTCGTGACATCTTACAATGACAACACACTGCCTGCTGACCAGACTCTGAGGAAAAGTCCAAGTGACTTTGCTGACTTTGGAGATTGTGATGACTCTCCTGAGGTAGGAACACGTCTCACATTATCTGTGCTCGTATTTAATAAGGCATCCCCCGTTTTCTATGCAGTACTCAATTTTCACTTGGCCTTTTTACTTTTAACTTCCACAGACACAATTAAATCGTATTTTTGAATGGTCCAAAATTCCTAAATACGGCTTAATGTTATAGTCTTCTGAATTTTGGTTTGTTGTAACCTCATTACGGTTTTAATATTCATTTTCTCTCAAACAACACTTGTAGTCAGACAGGGCTTGTCAATGTTCGTGCAGACATGTTTAATAGCTCTCTAAGCATCTGTTAGGAGGTTCCTTGACCTCAGCCACCTTCCCTCCCCAGCATACACACACACACACACACACACACACACACACACACACACACAGTCTTCTTTACTTCACCCACGATTTAAATGTTTTGGTCATCTAATCAAAAATATATTTGTAGCTATTCTTACTTTGTTTTGTTGCAGTCCTCCTGTCGGCCTTGTCACATAGATTTCAACTCCTCCTTTCTCTGTTCCATGGTGCTGAACATAGTTTTATTTTCCGGCATTTTGCAATTCACCTCTTTTTCCCGCGTTGTTAGTCTGAAACAATAGAAGCAGCTTGCAGTATGAGCTAAAATAAATTTCTTGTCATTGTTTTTTTCTCTCCTTTTTCTATTAATATTATTATTTTGATTATCCTACCACTACTAATTGTGATGAGAGAATATATTACATGAGATAATAATATGTCCTTTCACAGTTAGTGTAAGGGAAGCCAATCCTAAAGGTTTTGTACAAAGTTTGTTTTAGGATTCATATGTTTCTTTTTAAAGGTTTCCTTTCGAAATCCATTCAAAAGAAAATCACAAATTCCACTGCTGTATCTAAAAAAATACTCAAGGTGTCAGTGTGCACCAGTACACGAGATTGCACGTTCATTCCCCACCCCTTTATGTCGTCAAATGCAAAGCCAGAGTCCAGTATTCTGCAGCACTGGACTAAAACTGGTTGGTAATTTGACTTCAGTTTAACTTGGGAACAGCAAAGACAATCACGAATGCATCATTGATATATTGTATTGAAAACTTGAATATTAGTGGAGTTTTTGTCGTCAGAAAAATGGGACACTGCCGGTTTTCGCTTCACTGCTACGGCCTTGCTTTTCTGTTTCTGGCCCTCCACCCCATCAATGGAGACGTGAGCTACTCTATACCGGAGGAGATGAAACGGGGATCTGTAATCGGAAATATCGCTAAAGATCTGGGACTTGACTTGGGCAGACTGTCTGCTCGCAAGGCTCGTATTGATACTGAGGACAACAGCGTTCAATACAGCGGTGTTAACCTCAATACCGGCGAATTGATCGTACAAGAAAGAATTGACCGAGAAGGGCTTTGTGCGAAAAAAGCATCATGTGTTTTAAAACAGGAACTCGTACTGGAAAATCCACTAGAACTGCACCGTATTAGTATCCGTGTTCAAGATATGAATGATAATTCACCGCAGTTTAAAGAGGATTCACTTAAGATTGAAATTCAGGAATCGGCTGTTAAGGGTGCACGTTTTCTTCTTGGAGAGGCACATGACGGAGACATCGGAGAAAATTCTGTTCAGGGCTACTCTCTTCAGCAGAATGACAATTTCAAATTAAACGTAAACACAAAAGCAGGTGGACGAAAATATTGCGAATTAGTTTTAGACAAAGAATTAGACAGAGAGGACAAACAAGAGATTATGTTATTGCTTACCGCATTTGATGGTGGCTCTCCTCAGAGATCAGGTACTGTAGTCATACACGTCACTGTACTGGATGCTAATGATAATGTACCAGTGTTTCGTGAGTCTGTCTATAAAGCAAGTCTGCCTGAAAACTCTCCTCTGGAAACATTGGTGATCTCAGTGAGTGCAACTGATGCAGACGAGGGATTAAATAGCGAAATTACCTATGGATTTGATCATGTTACAGATGAAAATAGTAACGTTTTTTCCTTAGATTCTAAATCGGGAGAGGTGCGAGTAGCTGGAGCTATTGATTATGAGAAAGTTTCATCCCATGAAATGCAAATAAGTGCAAAAGATGGTCTGGGATTAGTTTCATATGTAACTTTAATAATTGAAATTACAGACATAAATGACAATGCTCCAGTTATATATCTGAAATCACTGTCTAACCCCATACCTGAGAATGTATCACCTGGTACAGAAGTGGGCATCATTAATGTACAGGATAGAGACTCTGAGAATAACAAACAGGTCCGCTGCTCCATTCAACAAAACGCCCCTTTTAAGTTGGTTCCTTCTATTAAAAACTATTATTCTCTGGTGACCACAGGACAACTGGACCGTGAACTAGTGTCTGATTACAACATTACAATCACTGCCACTGACGAGGGCTCTCCACCTCTGTCCTCCTCTAAAACTGTTCAGTTATCTGTAGCAGACATCAACGACAACCCACCTGTGTTTGAGGAACAGTCCTACAGCGCATATGTGACTGAAAATAACAAACCTGGCTCCACTTTATGTTCCGTTACTGCTCGAGACCCCGACTGGAGACAAAACGGTACAGTGATTTATTCTCTGTTAGCTGGTGAGGTGAACGGTGCCCCGGTGTCCTCCTATCTGTCTGTTAACGGAGATACGGGGGTGATCCACGCTGTGAGGTCGTTTGATTATGAACAGTTCAGGAGTTTTAAAGTCCACGTGATGGCCAGAGACAACGGTTCTCCTCCGCTCAGCAGCAACGTGACCGTCAGTGTCTTTATATCTGATGTGAATGACAACTCTCCTCAGATACTGTACCCCGCCCCGGAGGGCAACTCGTTCATGACCGAGCTGGTCCCCAAAGCTGCACACGGAGGCTCTCTGGTGTCCAAAGTGATAGCGGTGGACGCGGACTCGGACAGAACGCCTGGCTGTCTTATCATATAGTCAAATCCACTGATCCGGGACTTTTCACTATTGGTCTCCACAGCGGAGAGATCAGGACACAACGGGACATTTCTGAATCAGACAGCATGAAACAGAACCTTATTGTGTCAGTGAAAGATAACGGACAGCCCTCTCTCTCTGCCACCTGTTCCATGTATTTACTTATTTCTGATAACTTGGCTGAGGTGCCAGAACTGAAGGATATTTCTTATGATGAGAAGAATTCCAAACTGACCTCTTATCTGATCATCGCGCTGGTTTCTGTGTCCACCTTTTTTTCTGACCTTCATCATCATCATCCTGGGTGTGAGGTTTTGTCGCAGGAGAAAGCCCAGACTGTTGTTTGATGGAGCAGTTGCCATCCCCAGCGCTTATCTTCCTCCTAATTACGCAGATGTTGACGGCACAGGAACTTTACGCAGCGCTTACAATTATGACGCATACCTGACAACAGGATCTAGAACCAGTGACTTTAAGTTCGTGACATCTTACAATGACAACACACTGCCTGCTGACCAGACTCTGAGGAAAAGTCCAAGTGACTTTGCTGACGTATTTGGAGACAGTGATGGTTCTCCTGAGGTAGGAACACATTTCATGTCACTGAACTTGTGTTCATCATCCTGAAGAAGCCATTTTTTCTTTTCTTTGACCCTTTTCAGTTTGATGTTCTTTCTGTGGTGGTTCAATACTATTTTAATAGTTCCAAAAGTTGTTAAAAAGTCCTGATGTTGGCTAAGTAATTTAGATTTAAGCTATTATCGATACAGTTGTTGGTGTTTCAATCTAATAAAATAATTAGAATTTACCGTTTAAATATCACAACCTTTACATTTGTTCTTACCAATATGTTAGTATAAGTCGAACAATTTTCAGAGCAACTTTCATTGGTCATTTTAACCTTCCTTTGCTCCCACCCACACACCAATCGATTATGCGCTGTGTTTGATATGTCTACTGTTAAGGCTTTGGTTGATTTTAAATGTGTTTGAGACAACTTGTCTATTTGAATCCATCTCGTCGTTTGCTTATTGCTTTTTTATCTTCCAGTCACGGAAAACTGCTTGTTTCTCTGTCCTTGGTGCTGAACTCAGTTTGACGTATTGTTGCATTGTTAGAGATAGTTTACTTCTTTGTTTTATGATGTTGTCACTTTTTACCAGTTTGCCGATTTATTTTAGCCCTTGTACTATTATGTAGATTGTGTTGATATATTTAGGTATTTCTTGCCTAATGTTTGCATGTGAATATATCGTCTCTATTTTCTGGTGTATTTGTGACTGTGTATTCTCAATTATACTGTACCTGTACCTGACAACAGGATCTAGAACCAGTGACTTTAAGTTTGTGACTTCTTAAAAAGACAACACACTTCCTGCTGAGCAGACTCTGAGGAGAAGTCTAACATGCTTTGTTGATGCATTTGGAGATTCTGAAGTCTCTCCAGATGTATGAAAAACTGAAAAATAGTGCAATGTTTTCTACTAAAGTCACAGTGTGAATGTTTCCTAATACGTTTAATTGCAGTACAAGAAGACCTCACCTTCTCTTTCTTTTTTCTTTCTTTCTTTTGTTCCTAATAATGAGATGCAATTGAAGAAGAGGTTGTCTAAACATATTTCTTCATTGCCCATGCATGGATCTAGCCTCCTCAATATGTGTTTAATAAATCTTCTATAGGGGTTTGTTCTGATCTAGCAGTTTACTCATGAGGAAGCCATATAAGATGATCACGGTATGGAAACTGCTTCCTACAAGACATATATGTTTGTACATTGTGGAGAAAAATATTTTTCACAATCATGGCAAAATCTAAGCAGAAGACATAGATTTATGTTGAATCAAAAACGTCAAATACAGCGTTCAGAACGCTTTGAGTGGTTGTGGGGGTTTCTAAATTGGACCTGATGAGTCTTAAGAAATAATGGTTCTATTGTGGTTTATGTTACTTCTAATAGGATTGAGAGAGAATTTTGCCTTCTCAAACAGATATATTGTCTCACCTATTCATATCTATCTATCTATCTATCTATCTATCTATCTATCTATGGTTGCATGGAATGGTTCTTTACAGGACATTCACTTTGTTTGGGTTTGATCATGCCTTTGCACTTTTCAGTAGATATATTTTGTTTGGATTCAACAGTCGCTGTCTTTGCATCTCAATAAAGTGTAAGAATGAATTTTATTCAAATATTTATCCTGTGCATGATTATATCATAGGTTTTATTTGTTAGAGACTTACTTTACAATGGCTGAATGATAATATTTCAGGGGCAGACTTGGCATATTACATTGTATTGGAAACCAACTTCGTTGTTTCAAATTAATGACTGCAACTCATCTATGAGTATAAATAAGTATAATACAAACTTTTCCTTGACCCATAGCCTGTATTGGGTTATGATGGTGCATACAATTTTAAACTAATTAATATACTTCCTCTATAAATGTAGGATTCTTCTTGTAGTAGTAGTGTAATTGTTATTACATTTCTTCTACTACTACTATTACTACTACTACTACTACTACTACTACTATATAATAATAGTAATAATAATAATAATAGTGATAATAATAATAATAATAATAGTAAAAGTAATAATAACAGTATATGTACAGTTTGTCATTTCATCTTTCCACTCACGGTGTCGCTATTCGCCTGTCTATGTGAAACATTTCTACTCCACCCTCTCGATGTAGATCAATAAAAGGCTAATGTTTCAGTTGCTGTTGCTAGTTTGGTGCAGCAGGAATAGCTGAGGAGTGCGGTCGATTTTCTTTTGACTGAACTGTAGAATACTTATTGAATTTGTAAACTACAAGAGAACCTTTTTCTGTAACACACGCGTTGCCGTGATGGCGCTCAAACGGAACTGCTTCGTTTTCTTTCTGATGTGGCAAACCGTGAATGGGGACGTGAGCTATTCCTTTCAGGAGGAAATGAAGCGCGGATCTGTTATTGGGAATATAGCGAAGGATCTTAACCTGGACTCGAGTAAACTGTCTGCTAGAAATGCCCGTGTTGATGCCACAGGCAATCGCAAGCGTTACTGTGATATCAGTCTCAGTACCGGAGATTTAATTGTTGCAGACAGGATCGACCGAGAGGGGCTTTGTGGCGAAAAGCTGTCCTGTGTCATAAAACGCGATCTTGTACTGGAGAATCCTCTGGAGCTGCATCCGTTCAGTCTTCACATTCAAGATATTAATGATAATTCCCCACAATTTAAGGAAGAATCGATTAATATAGAAATTAGAGAGTCTGCAGTCAGGGGAGCTCGTTTTGTGATAGAGGAGGCCCACGATGCGGATGTAGGACAAAATTCAGTTCAACAATACAGCCTGAAAAAGAATGAACATTTCATTTTGGCTTCTAATGGAAACACAATAGAGCTTGTTCTTGATAAAGAGCTTGATCGTGAAAAACAGCAAGAGATCAATCTGCTCCTTACAGCTTTAGATGGTGGCTCTCCTCAGAGATCAGGTACTGTAGTCATACACGTCACTGTGCTGGATGCTAATGATAACGCCCCAGTGTTTAGTCAGGCCGTTTATAAAGCCCGTCTGCCTGAAAACTCTCCTTTAGACACTGTGGTGGTCACAGTGAGTGCAACTGATGCAGATGAGGGAGTCAATGGAGATGTAACCTATGAATTTGGACATGTTTCAGAAGATGTGAAGAAAGTTTTTTAGTATTGACCGTAAAAATGGAAAAATAAAAGTAAATGGTGAGATTGACTTTGAAAGTGTTACAACCTATGATTTGCGCATTAAAGCTAAAGATGGTTTAGGATTATCGTCATACACAAAGGTAACAGTTGATGTCACAGATGTCAATGACAACATACCTGTAATCTATGTGAAATCTCTGGCAAATCCAGTACCGGAGAATGTGTCACCTGGTACAGAGGTGGGCATCATTAATGTGCAAGATGCAGATTCTGAGAATAACCAACAGGTCCGCTGCTCCATTCAGCAAAACGCCCCTTTTAAGTTGGTTCCTTCTATTAAAAACTATTATTCTCTGGTGACCACAGGACAACTGGACCGTGAACTAATGTCTGATTACAACATTACAATCACTGCCACTGACGAGGGCTCTCCACCTCTGTCCTCCTCTAAAACTGTTCAGTTATCTGTAGCAGACATCAACGACAACCCACCTGTGTTTGAGGAACAGTCCTACAGCGCATATGTGACTGAAAATAACAAACCTGGCTCCACTTTATGTTCCGTTACTGCTCGAGACCCCGACTGGAGACAAAACGGTACAGTGATTTATTCTCTGTTAGCTGGTGAGGTGAACGGTGCCCCGGTGTCCTCCTATCTGTCTGTTAACGGAGACACGGGGGGTGATCCACGCTGTGAGGTCGTTTGATTATGAACAGTTCAGGAGTTTTAAAGTCCACGTGATGGCCAGAGACAACGGTTCTCCTCCGCTCAGCAGCAACGTGACCGTCAGTGTCTTTATATCTGATGTGAATGACAACTCTCCTCAGATACTGTACCCCTCCCCTGAGGGCAACTCCTTCATGACCGAGCTGGTCCCCAAAGCTGCACACGGAGGCTCTCTGGTGTCCAAAGTGATAGCGGTGGACGCGGACTCCGGACAGAACGCCTGGCTGTCCTATCACATAGTCAAATCCACTGATCCGGGACTTTTCACTATTGGTCTCCACAGCGGAGAGATCAGGACACAGCGGGACATTTCTGAATCAGACAGCATGAAACAGAACCTTATTGTGTCAGTGAAAGATAACGGACAACCCTCTCTCTCTGCCACCTGTTCCATGTATTTACTTATTTCTGATAACTTGGCTGAGGTGCCAGAACTGAAGGATATTTCTTATGATGAGAAGAATTCCAAACTGACCTCTTATCTGATCATCGCGCTGGTTTCTGTGTCCACCTTTTTTCTGACCTTCATCATCATCATCCTGGGTGTGAGGTTTTGTCGCAGGAGAAAGCCCAGACTGTTGTTTGATGGAGCAGTTGCCATCCCCAGCGCTTATCTCCCTCCTAATTACGCAGATGTTGACGGCACAGGAACTTTACGCAGCGCTTACAATTATGACGCATACCTGACAACAGGATCTAGAACCAGTGACTTTAAGTTCGTAACATCTTACAATGACAACACACTGCCTGCTGACCAGACTCTGAGGAAAAGTCCAAGTGACTTTGCTGACGTATTTGGAGACAGTGATGGTTCTCCTGAGGTAGGAACACATTTCATGTCACTGAACTTGTGTTCATCATCCTGAAGAAGCCATTTTTTTCTTTTCTTTGACCCTTTTCAGTTTGATGTTCTTTCTGTGGTGGTTCAATACTATTTTAATAGTTCCAAAAGTTGTTAAGAAATCCTGATTTTGGCTAAATAATTCAGATTTAAGCTATTATCGATACAGCTGTTGGTGGTTTAATCTCACGTTAGAATTTACCGTTTAAATATCCCAACTTTTACATTTGTTCTTTTTTTTTTCTAACCAATTTGTTTGTGTAAGTCGAAGAGTTTTCATTTAATCAATTATTGGTCGTTTTAACCTGCCTTTTGCCCACACACTTATCGATTATGTGTTTGTGTTTGATATGTGTACTGTTAAGGCTTTGGTTGATTTTAAATTGTAGAGACAACTTGTCTATTTGAATCCATCTGGTCGTTCGCTTCTTGCTTTTTTATCTTCCACTCAGGGAAAACTGCTTGTTTCTCTGTCCTTGGTGCTGAACTCAGTTTGACGTATTGATGCATTGTTGGAGATAGTTTACTTCTTTGTTTTCTGATGTTGTCAGTTTTTACCGGTTTGCTGGTTTGTTTCAGTAATTGTACTTTTAATCAGATTTTGTTTATATATTCAGGTATTTCCTGCTTATTGTTTGTATGTGAATATGTCGTCTTTATTATCTGGTGTCATTGTGACTGCGTCTTCTCGATGATACTCATCAGAAGTGTGTAACTATTTACATAGGCTATAATTGAACTCGGTATGACAGCAGCAGGAAGATTTTGACCCCCTGTGTTTATTCTGTGTAGCTAATGGAGTTTTGCGTTCCTAGGTTGGTCCTTTATATGTTAAATTATCTATATGTGCGTCAGTGACACATTCGTACACCTCATGCTTTTGACAAAATGAAACATTCTACTCAAGTGTTTTTTAACTTTAATGTATGTCTTTAAAGACCACATGTTGTTGTCAATTAGTACAAACTTCCATAACCAACACTGTTCAAAAAAAAAAAAGAATATATATCAACTACTCGCAGTCTAGCTTTGACAGAGCAGGTAGCAGAAATACCACAAATAGTAGTTTTACCCTTCAAGTTTCTGTTGTATTTGATACTCTTATTCTGTTATTTAACCCTTGT